ACAAAGATGATGAAGGGCAGGCAGTGGGTGAACTTACCAGTCACATGGTTAAACTTGAGCATGTACCTACTCAGGTCTGGAGTGGGTATAATCCGAGTAGTTGGTATGAGCAGTTTGGAGGAATCAAGGCATTGGTAGGTGGAGTCATACTGATTTTTGATGTTGTGTCTCCTTCTGCCATGTCTGATTCCTTTGGTAATTAGGTCTATGCAGAGCATTATAGAAAGTATAGCAGAAAGAAAGGCCGCAGCACAGGTAATGGCTGTTTGCAGGTATGAAGCTCTAGATCAAGGAGAATACATGCAGGAAGAGGAATGTTGAGGGGTTCGTATCTTTAGAGGATCGCAAAGTCTAGTCTGGTTTATGGCAACTTGAGGTGTAAGCAAACTATGATTGGTGATGCATCTGGAATTATTTTAAATCAGAAGCATCAAAGGGGGGAATGTGGTTGAATTCCAGTAAAATAAAAGTTTAGCAGGCCAAGATTGCCACAAGGCATATGTAGGTACATGTGTTTGTAGTATCAGTTAGTTAGTTACACGTAGCTAAGATACTGTCATCACTGTACTGAGCATGTGCAGGAATGCAGGAACTGGAATTACGCGTCCCTCTCCTTTGTTTCAGATGAGCCACGTGGTTAGACCGGATGGATGAGTTTAGACTCTATTCATTGATTAGGTTAAGGGTATGTGTGGGCGTAGCTAATTATGGGAGGAGCTACAGTGCTATATAAGGAATCTACTCTATGTATTCAGTGCTCAGATCTTTGCTGTTTTACATAAGTCCCTCTGAGTCCCGGTCGGTGAATCGAATAAAGATCTCTTCCTTCCTGAAGAAACCTGTGTCCATCTCTCTGTGCTTGGCCTCCGTCAGTTTCCGGTAACAATGGTGAGCGTTTAGCGGGGTCACAGGGTATGTGTGGGGGGCTTTGACAGGATGTGTGTGTGGAAGGATGACAGGATCTGTGACAGGCTTTTAAAAAATGTGACAGAGGACTTAGACACACTGTGGGGGGCTGCAACAGGGTGGAGTTGGCTGTGAGAGGGTGTGTGAGGAGGCTGTAACAAGGTGGGCGGCTGTGAGAGGGTAGGGAGGGCAGTGACAGGGTTCGGGGTCTGTGACAGGGAAGAAGAGGCTGTGACAGAGTGGATGTGGGGCGACAGTGTGGGGAGGGGCTGTGACAGGGTGTGGAGGCGGTATAAATAGCTTTTTTTTTTTCTTTAACAATTTCCTGGTGGCCTGGTGGGCTGGCTCTCCGGTCTGCAGCTCCACTGATTGCAGAGCTGCAGACCACATGGTAACCTGCGGCAACGCTATGATCGGCTGGAGATGAAACGATGCCTCAGTCTGCAACTCTACACTTGGCACCTAATTAGTGAGCCGCCTCTGACTATATGTAACTGCAAGTACAAAATATTACCGTAGTAAAATATAGATAAAAATGCATTGTCATAGTAAAAAATAATGTAGAACAAAATGTGAAATCCAGTGGAGTGGCTTCCAAATGACAGTCCATACCTTAAAGATGCAGTGCTTAGTAGAAAAGAATTGGCTTATCAGTAACAGTTATGTAGGGGACATTCAATTTATAATCCTGCTCAGCTGTATACCAGAATAAATATATAAAATTTAAGTTTTTTAGTTGATCGCATTTCTCCATTCATTTCACATTGATTTACAGGACAGTGTAATTTGCAAATAAAGTCTGTGGGGACAATAACACTAATCAGAAATAAGGGAAGCCAAATTAGAAACGAAAATTAATATCAAGGAATTTAATCTGTAATCATTTTTGTAAAATAGTAATCTAGGATGAAAAAAAGAATGAAATCAATCTAGTTCAGACTTTCACACATTTTTTTTAATACATTTTTAGTGAATTACAGTACATCAACAAATCCCATACTTGTGGAACAAAGTCTATTGTTTGTATCAGCCGATCAGCGTGTATATGTCTGACTCTGGTTTTATTTTATTTTTTTCACTGATTACTAAATATATTGATTGCTCCAGAATGTGTTAGCTTTATATAATCAACAGATAATTGTTTGCGGAACTGGAGCTAGCTCTGTGAGCTAAATGCCAGCTGAGTTTAAAACGCAGTACAGTATAAGAACACTACTGGGCTTATCAACAGAAATGATAAAACTTTGTACAATGAACAGAGCCACTTCAGAGACTAGGTACTTGTTAGCAAACAATAGCATTACACTGTAAACCATAAGACGCTTTCTAAAAGAACTGCAGAGATGTTACATTTGCATTTGAAAGGAAAATCAGTGTCTCTTTGTATCTCCATAGCTCCTGGAAATGCACATTAAAGAGGTGTAATCCCGCTAGATTACAAGAGATTACAATGCAAATGAAAAGGTTTACAAAGGACAATATCAAACACTAACTAAGGTTCTGCCCTGGAGAAAGGAGGTTGCAAGTGAATGTTAAAGATATCATCTTAAAACCACTTGGCTATTTGCTTGTTAGTAGGCAACAGGACACTTTTAATCCTTTCCCTGAGGAAGGAGCTGCTCAAATCCCTTTTTTTCTATTGTCTAAAAATTGTTTCTTGGCAGTCTAGTTTTTAACCTAATGATTAATGCATACCATGCCATATGTTTAAGTTTTCATTTAATTTGAAAACTGAGGTAAATCGTAATTTTATTGACTATGTTTATATGGTGTGTAAAAAGATTTGTCCGCTGGTTTTCTGCAAAATAAATCACTGAATAAGTGTATCGTATACCAAAACCCAGAATGTAGATTTTCCAGGTTCAGTAAATACATCATGTCAATTGCAAAATATGGGCATAGGTGCTTATTTCACCCAAACCCCATTCTTTTCTTACATGGGATATGTTAACATGTCTGACCCTGTTTATGGTTGCATTAGTCTATCACCTTAATTCTGGAATAGAGGCCAATTCACACAAAGGCACTTTTCTGGAAAATACACAAATAAATAATTGAAAATCATATGTAGTGTGTGTAAATCTTTTTTCATGGGCTGCTCAATTTTTAAAAAAATGAATATTGAAGTAAAACACTAGGTACTGCAGCTGCCTCGTCTTATTGAAGTGGATATGGTGTCTAAAGCCCTCTTGCACCATTTCTTCCTTTCAGCATTAAATAATTTTTGTAATGCTAATGAGAGTCCACTGTAGTTTATCCCCTCTGTGCTGTTTAGGTCAATGAGGAAGCATTAGCCTGCGCAACAGTGGGCCTATGTGATTGTCTGGGAGTGTCAGCTGACTACTTTTGGCGTATCACCACACCCATTACTGGCAGGGCAAGGATTTTTGACCACACAGGTGAAAATGCATTTTGCCACCACCCCAGAAAATGCATCTTAACCTCTGTGTCTCAGAGCCCACCTTTTGAATTTCTTACCCCATTAGTGTTTCATTTCCCCACTCTTGAATGTATTGCCCATTTGTACCTTACACCCGCCTTTACTTTGTCTCTTACAACCCCTCTTATGTATTTCTTACTTCCTTGCCAGCCCCTTTGTGTCTCTTTCTTTCCCCCAGCCCCTATCTCTCTTTCTCCCCCCCAACACTATCTATCTATCTATCTCCCCTCAGCCCCTATCTATCTCTCTTTCTCCCATGTGGCCATCGATACAGGCAAAAATACATATATGCACAAATACACAAACATACAGACACAGGATCACATAGAAATACAGACACAGACATAAAGAGACATACAGACAGGCATATAGAGACATACATACACAGTAATACAGATATATACATATGCAGACAGTCATACAGAGACATATATACACAGACAGTCATACAGAGACATGCAGACTGTATGTCTTTGTATGGTTGTCTGTGTATGTACACAGGGTGGCTAAAAGATAGATCCCCTATCTGTCGTGCAACTTCAACAATGCTTTGAAAGCTGTGGCTCTACCGATTCCCCATGCTTACAGGATTGTATTTAGCACTGAGCAGTATTTGTGTGTTTGAATGTAGTGGTGTGTGTTTGTATGTAGTGTTTGCATTTGAATGCAGGGGTGTGTTTATATATAATTTTGGTGTCTAATACAGAGGCGTGTTTGTATGTAGTGTTGACATTTGAATGCAGGGGTGTGTTTGTATGTAGTGTTGACGTTTGCATGCAGGGGTGTATTTGTGTGAAGTGTTGGCGTTTGAATGCTGCGAGTTATGCACATATACACATACACTGACACACACAAACTGTGATACACATACACAAAGATACACACACTGACACACATGCAGATACACAGATACAAATATACACAAACTGATTCACATTCAGATAGACAGGCCCATAGATACACACACATATACAGATGCAGACACACACTGACAGACACACAGATACACACAAACACTGACAGACATACAGATATACACTGATAGACATACAGACACACACATGCATATTGACAGACATATAGATACACACACAGACACACTGAAAGACATACAAATACGCACACACTGACAGACATAAAGATACACATGCTGACAGACATACAGATATACAAACACAGACACACAGAGATACACACACACACATGCTGGTAAAAATATACACATTTCTAGCCACCCTCCTGTTTCCTACCTTGATGGTTCAGGAGGGTGTCTTACCTGGGATCCAGGGTGCTGCCGTTGGGAGTTGGAGGAGCTGGCCCTGCCCATCCCCCCTCCTCTCTGCCTTCTCCTACTTCCCATGCCGATAAGAAGGGAGACGGCCCACTGCTGGGTGCCAGCCGCGATGTGTGCTACAGGGGGAGTACAGATATGACGTCTTCATATCCCCACACAGTCCGCTGTACTGCAGAGTGAAAAGCAGGCTGGACGGAGTTGCTGGCATTTTGCCACGCTACGAGAAGTGACCAGCAGGTGAAGAACGCTGTGTGTTTCCCTTCTGCCGGCCACCCGGACATTTGCGCTCCCAGGCAGGTGAGCCAAAAGGCAGCCGCCTGTGCCGCCTTATGGATGCACCGGCCCTGATTGCTGGTATGACTTGGTACAACTAGAAGGAAGTATGTAATCTCTGCCTTTGCTGTATCTCCAGTAAGGACTGGTCGAAAATGATTTAATATTGAATGGAGGGACACTGCTAGGGGACTCTAAGCACTAGAAACAATTCAATGAGATGAAATAGTCATAGGGCCTACAGCATCCCATCTAGGATAGAGCAGTTGACATCGTAATCTCATCTACTTTAGGCATAGCCAACACACTTCTTGCATTGGGGGGAAGAAACAGAAACATAAAGTAAGTACAATTATGTCAAGCATCTGTGGTACATCGCAACTTTTACATAATACCTATAGTGTATTCAGTGTGCTTAGAGCTGTTTGTTCATTGCTACTACAATGCAACCATAAAGTTTCTCCTACAAATCTTACTGTATAGTGGGAGGGGTTATTAAATGTGACTGTTTTATGCAGGATTCAATGTTGAAGCAGATAATTGTGTTTTCATACTCTTTGCTGCGTCACAAAAACAGTTTGTTTAATGACCAGTAAGCAACAGGTATTTTTACTATCTCGTCAGCTGGTATAACAGATTAACATGAATTAATCTGGTCTTTCCTCCCTCAAGTGTTGCTGCTTCTGTGTCTGTCTCCCTCCACGTCAATGGCGCTACCACCAGCTCCACCACGCAGGCTCGCTGCCTTGGTGTTCTCTTTAACTCCACCCTCTCCTTCACCCCTTATGGAAGTGGCAGGATTTGGCAATAGACTAAATATGAGGATTGAAGGAGAGGTTGGAGGTGGAACTCCTTAAGGTGATCCAGCGCCAGGGATCTTGAGGCACCATAATAATTTAATTTTGATGAAGTTGTTTTGGTGCTCGGAGTGTTTCTTTAAACTGCTTGAAATTGGTTAAACACTAAATACCAGGGGACCCCAGGCACTATAACCAGTGCAGTGGGATGAAATGGTTATAGTGCCTGTAGTTTGCATTAAAATGCATTCCACTGCAAAAAAAGATTTATAGTCTACCAAATCAAAGTGTGATTCTTATTCTCTTGTCTCTGAGCTGAATATTCATACTGCGATGGAAATATTGCAGACTATGTATGTTATGCAGGAAATTAGTTATCTGACCTGTTTTTGACATGCAACTGTACATGTAAGTGTATTCTTGGCTCGCTTACATGACTTGTGTGATATTTTTAGAACTTCATTTTTAATTCTCAACTCAGCGAGACCCTGAAAGCAGTTTGAAATATGGAATTAAGTTTTTAACCCTCACAGCTGTCCTGTCCTTCATTGATAAAAAAAAAAAAATGGGGTAAGTTCATATAAATGCTTGCATCCTACCTCTAAAAGGATGTAGGTGATTCTGTTTTCACATTCTCTTCAATATTTCCAGAACATTTCATTAAACATTCAAGCAGTGATGTTTCATCTTTAACTGAGCATGTCAGAAACTCTCACTGAATTTCTTGACAGCTGTATGCCTATAGCACATTACTATTACAAATAACTTTATAAATGAATTGTGGGTTGTTTTTATTTTTATAATTTTTTTAAAGGATTACTCAAAGCACTATAACCATTTCATTGATTTTAACTGGTAGTGGTGCCTGAAGTCTGTAGTGTGCATTTTGATTAACAACTCCTCTGCGTCATTGGAGTATCATTAACCAGGCCAAAACTAGAGTTCCAAGTGTTAATTCTTTGAAAATTAAGAAAGCGTGTCCTACAATCTCCCTCCGTGCCATCCCTTGTGTGTTTGTCCTTCCTGGCCTCCTTTCAGCGTTGGGTAGTGATGTCAGTAGAGGAAGATCAGAAAGAGGGAGAACTTAGTCTTGGTCTTTGAGAGTAAGGTAAGTTTTAGCAGTTTAATTTTTTGTTTTTACTATTTTTTTGTGTTTTTAAGGTTTGGGGTGGCGGACCAGCAGGGTAAGGGTTACTTTTACTAAAAACACTCTTTTTTTTTTTTAATGGTTGGAGTAACCTTTTAAAAGCAAAGGACTGTAATTGGGATCGTGATCTTCCACACAACAACATGATTTGGAGCAATGACAGTGCAGTAGCATCAAACATGTGATACTTCTGAATAGTACATATAACTCTGCAATTCACCTGCATAGATGTAAGTTCTTAAACTTCTAAATTACCAGCCAGGCTTAAAAACTTACTCTGCTCCAAAAAAAAGAGTCAAAAGCATATTGTTTTTTATCTATGTTGTATTGATTTTCTACATCCCTGGTGATCTCATACATAACCCCTACCCACCCACCCCCCACCCACCCCCGCCCCCGTTTTGACACATTTTATCTTCCTGTGTCCTATGTTTTTTATATATTGTAAGATCAATGGATAAGGCCTTCTTTGTCTTTTGCTCCTGTTGACACTTGTTGTTCATCTCATGTTTGCTGCAATAATCACTGTACATTTGTAAAACTCTATGTAAAATCACTATATAAATACTAGCAGTAATAATAGAGGGTTTAGGATCAGTGTATATGATTGTAGTGATGTAAGTGTACATTGTTAGCGTGGGTGAATGCAGGGATTTATTTATGCAAAGAGTCAATCTCTTTATGACTTCAGGGTTATATTTAGGTGGAGATTGTGTGTGTTTGTGAACTCAGTTGTATGTTTGTACTAATATATAGCGCCATGTCTGTAAAACCAAATGCCCGCCATATTAATACTCACAGCAACTACAACATATGCAGTATAGCAGCTGTGAAGGAGATGGAAACTGCCTATAGAAGGGCTGCTTTCTCCTTATCGGCCTCCATTATAGGCCTCTCTGATAAGCGATAGATGACAGATTAGGGGAAGAACCATATCTTTACAAAGATTTTTCTTAAAGGTACACTATAGTCACCTAAACAACTAACTTAATTAAGCAGTTTTTGTGTATAGATCATGCCCCTGCAGTCTCACTGCTCAATTCTCTGCAATTGGGGAGGTAAATCACTTTGCTTATGTTGCTCTAGTCCTACCTCTATGCATGAGACGTACAGAGCCTTTTAAAACACTTCCTGTAAGAGTCATCTAATGTTTGCACTTCCTTTATTGCAAATCCTGTCTTATTTATAATATCCATTCTTCTGCGCTGTCAGTAGCTTGCTAGACCTGCATTGGCCTCCTGTATGTAATTAAAGTAATTAAAGTTAATTTTACAAAGCAGGAGATAAAAACTTTTATAGTAAATTACATCTGACTGAAAATGAAACTATTTTGTTTTCATGCAAGCTGTGTCATTCACAGCCAGGGGAGATGTTACTAGGGATTCATAAACAGAAACAAATGTGATTTATCTCCTGAATGGCAGTGAATTGAGCAGTGAGACTGCAGTGGCATGATCTATATGCCAAAACTGCTTAATTAAGCTAAAGTTGATTGGGTTCCTATAGTGTCCCTTTAAAATCTGTACATTTGCAAAAACAATCTGCAAAAACTTAGCTAAATATTTTCCTATCATTTTATATAGTGTTATGTGTACCATGATGAGTTAACGGAAAGGCCCTTACAGCTTACATTGTATATTACAATAGGAATATTCATTTCAGGTAAAAGTTATATTAACATTCAATTGACACAATGTACAAATATATTAAATTTGAGATTTTGTTTCTGATATTTTAGCCTCAAATTTTCTTACTGGACATGGATTTTGCAGTGAGATTCAGCTTCAGAGACAACAGAGTGGAACGGGAAAACTGATCCCTTTTTTGTTGTGTAATTGCATTTCACATTTTGTATCTGCCCCTTTCAGATTAAGCATCTGTGTTCTCCTTATTTGATTTCCCCTTTTGAAAATCACAGTTTTTATCTTCAGCGCAGTGTTCCAAATGATGGAACCTCTGGGAATATTCCAGATATGTGGCAAATCCCACCTAAGTCATAACTGCGTCTATCTGTTCTTCCACCTCTTTTTTAAATACATGCATCTTTTTCCCAGAGAGAAAACTGCTCCCTGGGCTTGTTTTTCAATAGTCCTGAACATACAATACAGGAGCAGCTCATCAATAACTTCTCCTGACAGGGCTATAGTGTGAGCACAGCCATTGCCTTAGGACTATCTTTCCAGCTGGGGACAGATCATGCACAGGCATCACACAGAAGGCCAGGCTAGTATCCAGGATTGAAGATGTGCAAGCGATAGAGGGGAGAGTTTGAGATATAGACAGAACAACAAGCAGAATAATGAAAGAAATCGTTGAGTGGTCGATATACTGAATACATGGCACAGACTGCATGGATATTATAGATCACATCTTTGGGAAGCCTTTGTGAGACTTTGATTTATCAAAACAGGCTGTCTTCATATGGAATTTGTTGGTTTGTGATTTTCAGCAGTGATATCTTAAGAAGCTGAATTTTATATAGAAAATAGTGTAATGGTTGGAGCATTTCTGAAATTGTGAAAGAAATCCAATGATTAAATTAACTCTTTTTTTTTTGTTTTTTTTTGCATGTTTCTATATCTATATAAAAAAGGGTAAGTTTTAACCCAAATGTTTAATAATATTCAAGAAGTAACATAATTTTAAAAAAATAAATAAGCACTTAGTGATTTACTTTATTTATTCTTGGTAGTGGGGCAGCATTCTGTTGGTCAGTTTTATAGCCTACTATATGAGTCGGTAATTTATAGTTAGCTCCTCCATATGAAATGAACATACGTACATGCATAAAACGTTTTGCCTTTCACGCTTGAGATGTACCAAGCCTTCGTGAGGACTATTTCTGAACAGGTTCTTCAGATTCAGAACTATACCGAGAAATGTTGTCATCTTTAACAACCTGAGTCCATACAAATATATATTAAGTGCCATTTTACTATATAAAACCTGGCTGTTTGGTCTTTTTTTTATTTTTTTTATTCTTCATTTTATTTGTGGATGTGCACATATAATACAGAGGTACAGTAGTTTTGTTACTCACTTTTTGTTTTAAAGGTAAAAATATAGTAGCTAAACATGCATATTCAACTTTACATCATCAAAATAGCGTAATTGCGGTGTTTGATCATGTGCTAAACGTTGCTCGTGTGTTATATATGAGCTTATCTCTACAGGGCCTGCTTAGAGACTCGGGAGGTTGTCCCTTGGTCTGGGTAGATGCTAGTGTGTGTGCTGGTGTCTGCCTGTAAGTATGAGTGAGGTCAGAGCCTGGTTATTATGGCTCTGGGTTGTGCGATGTACATATTTGTGTTTGTAATAACTAGCGTTCTCGCTGGGAGGGGGCGCTCAGGTGTCGCTGCCAGAGGGAGGGTCGGCTCCAGTGGTGCCCTCCTGAGCCTTGGCTGGGGGTCGCCAGTGCTGTCGTGTGGAGGTGAGTGGTTAGTAGGTGAGCGTGTGTTTTTTTTTAAATTGGTTGGGAGACGTATGTGTCACTACCGGGGTGTGTTCCGACCGCAGGTGGTCCGAGCTTTGTGCGGGTAGTGCTCGAGGTGAGCTCTATTAGCGTGGTCTTGCATACATTTGTACATATTAAACATTCCAACATGTTAAAGGACCACTATAGGCACCCAGACCACTTCAGCTTAATGGTCTGGGTGCCTGGTCCTGCTAGGGTTAACCCTTTTTTTTATAAACATAGCAGTTTCAGAGAAACTGCTATGTTTATAAATAGGTTAATCCAGCCTCTAATTCATTGACAGCCGCTAGAGGCGTTTGCGTGCTTCTCACTGTGAAAATCAAAGTGAGAAGACGCAAGCGTCCATAGGAAAGCATGATGAATGCTTTCCTATGAGACTGGCTGAATGCGCGCGCAGCTCCTGGAGGAGAGGAGGCGGAGAGGAGGAGGAGAGCTCCCCGCCTGGTGCTGGAGAAAGAGGTAAGTTTAACCACTTCCTCTCCCCAGAGCCCGGCGAGAGGGGGTCCCTGAGGGTGGGGGCATCCTCAGGGCACTATAGTGCCAGGAAAACTAGTATGTTTTCCTGGCACTGTAGTGGTCCTTTAAACTTTAAAGCACCAGGTCGTTGACGGTGTCCCCAACTGGGGTTGTAAATCTAGCCATGGATAGGGAGGAAGTGTAACTTGGTTGAATGTCCCATGCCAATAGTCTCTGGGCTTTAGTCTCCTGGGTCCGCTGTGGATGGCAGGGACTTCTTAGTGGTTCGAACGGGGTGATGTTGTCCACATCCCACTGTTGTCTCCGCCAGCTGCCCTTCCCTGGTTCCATCTGTGTGGTGATGCCCTGCTGGGTGAGGAACAGTTGGCCCTCCACTGGTGATGGTAGCGTATGGACAGTTCCCTCCACAGTGACCTGGAGAGAGCGTGTTGTGCTCCAGCAGTACAATGTCTTTCTCTGCCTCAGCACACTGGTGACCGGGCACATGGTTTGCCTCCATAGTATAGTAGGCTTTGAGAGGTCATTATAAAATGTCAGGGTGCGCTGCTCAAAGGACAGGGAGGGTGAGTCCCTGACCGCTGCCATGATTGCCATTTTGTCCAGGTGTGTGACAAGTTGTATGATGACATCACTGTTTGTTTGTTGGGGCAGTCTGCCCTGCCTGCGGATTCTGTAGATATTGTCTATCAGGATTTTTCTGGCCTGCTTGTGTGGAAGTATGTGCTGAATCAGGCGTCTCATATATTGTGGCAGTTCAGACTTCTACACCGAGGTAGGGATACCTCTAATATTGATGTTCTTGCAGCGGTTGGGGTCTTCATATTCCGTCATTTTTTGTGTAATTGGGGCTTGTGAAACTGTTAGCCGCTTCTGCTCTGCGGCAAGTTTGGTTTACTCGGCTTTGAGGTGAGTAGATGTCTCCTCTGTGGCCTTGATTCGCCCTGTGAGTGAGAGCATACCTTTCCTCTGTATTGCTAGGTCCGCTTGGAACATCTTGCGGATGTTGCTGAGGAGCCTTTTGTGGCTGGGGTGTTGTTCTCTTCATCTGAGGAGTCCATATGCAGGCCGCCAGCTTGGGGGATCTCATCCAGTGTGTCTAGAGAGGCTTCTTCCTCGGACGACGAGATCTAAGCATGTTGGTCCGCGTTTTGGGCGCCATACGCGGGAGGTTTCCCTGCATGTATTCCCCAATATTTCGGGTTCCTGAGGCCAGGGCTGTTTTAATCTTCTTGGCCCACTTTCCCATTGTGTTATTGGGGTGCTGGGCGGTGTTCCAGAGGTTTTTCTCCCGGTTAGCTGTGGTCTTTTATGCTTATTAGTACGGAGCTACTGTTCTGCACGTCTGTTCGGTTTGCTGGCTTGGCTCCGCCCCCCTGTTTGAGTAATTTTACATTACTCAACAAACTTCCTCATGATTTTAGCGAAGCTTTGTCCTCTCATCCATTCACTATTGCACATCGCTGCTAATGCAAAAGCTTTAACCTGTGAGCTGCACAGAGGTGCCGGACTGATCAGCTCAGACCCACTGGATGAAAACTGAATTTATTCACTTCTTTCAATTCACATGAGTAAATATGAGCCTATGCTTTCCACAGTTTGTCATTTGGTATTTGTATTTGCTTATTATGACAAACAAAGGGAACAAACACTTACAGGGTTATCCACTAAAGTGCAAACTGTAGATAATTCAAACTGAATTTCACATTTTAGACCACAAAAGCCATATTGGAAATAAAATCAGCTACCATGTCTGTCCGGAAAGCATCCAGCCATGTAATATGAAAAATAGATATATTTTATATAATAAAGCTAGATACAAGTAACATTGTACATTGGACAATGACACCTCAGTCACCTTCAAAGTAGGCACCTTTGGACCTCACACAGTTCTCCCAACATCTCGTCCACGTTTGCAACACTGTGCAAATTCTTTTCTTGGAATCGCCATCAGCTGAACTTTCTTCCCTTTCTAAGGTGGCTTTAGTTTTGGGAAAAGCCAGAAGTTGCAGGGCGCCAAATTTTTCAACATATTCTCAACCATCTTTAAAGCGTTTGTGCTACACTTTTACTTGCGCTGCACTCAATGTTGTCCTCGAAAGGCTTCTGATTCATTTGAATAATTTCCTCAGAGGAATGTTTAAGCTTAAAGCAAAATTTGATGCAGGTTCAATGCTCTACTTGCTCAGTGTTTTTGAATGCGACGGCCACATGGTACATATCCTCACTCAACAGCGCCCCACTAACAAGTGCAGTGAAGTCGTCATTGTTCACACATGTGCATTCCAGTCCCACTCTCCTTGGCTGTCAGGTTACACCAATGTCATGCAAATCATTCTAAATAATTTTAGCTATGTAATGGTATATTAAAAATAAGAGACACTCTAAGCACCTTAGCCACCACAGCTCATTATGGTTGTAATGTGGTCATAGTTGTAGGGGTGGAATCCCCTGGTTTTAGTGAAAATGGTTTTGAGCAGTTTAGCAAAACCAAGGATGCCCCTGCCATCTACAGACTGTAGACACTCCAGGTTTGCATAGTGTGTCCCTTCAATTTCATAAAATTAATTTAAAGAAAAATTAAACCTTTTTTAATTGAGGCTGTGTAAGTCATATCCAGAGTAGTTGTGGCTAGGGCTGCATGGAGAATGGAACAATGAGACTCTAGAGGCATGATCTACACATAAAACATGCTTCAACAAAGGGGAACTATCACTTCTCTGAAATTTACAGCATTGAAAAAAATACTGAAAATCATTAATAACATTATCTTTTCCTCATCAGATGCTCCATTTTCTTTTAAATTTATATAAAAAATGTATAAAAGTATCATAATTCAGTTCAGACAAGGCAAACACAGGAAAAACATTGCAAATGAAGATGTACAGAGTGCCAGAGGTGATAGGGGAAATATTTTCTTAAATCTTGCTCACACTTCAAGTTGTGGCCACGAAATAGTTAACTTGTGCACACAAAACTATATAGTGGGCAGCAGGGCTTCCTCTAAGCACCTACCTTTCTCCCTTTGCCTGTGCCCTACTAATCACGAAATCAAGAGCACAAGTAAAAATATATATATTTACCCTATTTGTAACCTTTTTGGTGGTTGGCCTTCATATGATTGCAGAAATCTCAATGGCAACTGGCTTGGGGTTTGTTTTTGTGTTTTGACTGGACAACTGACAGTGATTAATATATTTACATAGAGAATTAGACTAAAGTGGCTATTTAAAAATTGCTATTAAAATGTACTTGAGCTTGAATTCACACTCTCTTTAGTAGAAATGGGCTCCAATCATTTTCAGAGCAGGTATAAAACTTGTTGAAAACAATGTGTTTACTGTATTTACAGTACAAAACTAAGGTATGGAACTAAAGATCCTAGCAGGTAGCCAGTGGCGTACTGCGGGGGGGGAGGTCCACCCCGGGTGCCACCAGGGTGGGGGGTGCCATGACATGCTGTACTGAAGCTGCCAGAGAGCCCTGGGGGTGAGAGAGAAAGGGGGGAGGGAGGCGAGAAAGGGGGGAAAAGAGGAGAAAGGGGGGGGAGAGAAAGGAGGGTGAGAGGAAAGGAGAGGAGGGGGTGGGAAAAGAGGAGGAGGGGGGAAAGAGAAATTAGGGGGGAGAGAAATTAGGGAGTGGGGGGAGAGAAATTGAAATGAGGAGAGGGGAGACTGAAATTAGAGGGGAGAGAAATTAGGATGGGGTGAAAGAGAATTAGGGGAGGGGGAGAGAAGCCAGTGGGGGGGGAGAGAAATTCAGAAATTAGGAGGGGGGGGACACACAGAGGGGGGAAGAGAACAGGGGTGAGAAAGAGAAATTGGGAGCAGGAGAAGGAAATTGGAGCGGGAGGAGAGATTGACATTCATCACATACACACAATGCACCCCTTGCACACAGAAAAACACACAGACACACATACACAAGCAATGCAACCGTTACACACAATGCATCTCTTACACACACAGAAACACACAATGCATTTATTACACACACTCAATGCACCCCTTACACACATTCAATGCATCCCATACATACACAGAAACACACCTTGCAGTCCTTACACATACAAACACAATTTCACACAATGCATTCCTTACACACATATCAGGACATCCCCTACACACTCCACCCCCAGAACAAACTCATTGGTGGAACATAAAGGGGGACCCTGGGACCCAGACCTTGAGCTGTGTAAAGGGCCCTCAAAAAAATGGAGCTGCTTCCCGTTCTCCCAGAACATTGATTTTTGTGACCACAGCTACAAACCGCCTCCAGAGAGCCTGTTCTACACCAGACCAGTGGAGCCAGACGGCAGCTAGAGACCATCATCATCCTCATCTGGTTGTAAGTAGGCAATCTAGTATATTATTCGCTAAGCTCTACCTCTACTCACATTAAGAAAAATGACTAGTAGGAACTCCAGAACCACTTAGCTTAATCAGTGGTCTTGGTGTTTGTAGCCCTGTCCCTGCAGGCCTTTAATAAACACGGCGGCACTGCAGTGAACATGCTAGTTAACATGGCAAATCATATGGGTGGGGCATTGTGATGTCACATGGGGGGGGCGGCAAACTTTACTTTTGCCTAGGGCGGCAAAAATCCTTGCACCGGCCCTGGCTGGAGAGGGCTGTGTTAGCTGTGGCCGCACAGTGTCCCATGGAAGTTATGGTGCTGTGCGGCCAGTACAGCTCACACAAGCAAAAAGCTGATAAACTGGCCGCACGGAGGAAATGTGTATGTGTGACTGTCTGCCTGTGACTGTGTGTGACTGTCTGCCTGTAACTGAGTGTGTGACTGTCTGTCTGTAACTGAGTGTGTGACTGTCTGCCTATAAATGTGTGTGTGGGACTGCAGGGATTTTGTAGAAGGGGGCTGGGGTTTTGTATTGGGACAGGAGTCTTTATAATGGGGGATAAGCAGGGGATTTGTGGAAGGGGGTTGCGGGGGTTTTGTAGACGGGGCAGTACAGGATTTGTAGAAGGGGCAGGACAGAGGTTTTGTAGGAGGGGCGGGGCAGGACAAGGGTTTTGTAGGAGGGGCTGACAGCGGTTTTGCAAAGTTTACAAACTGTAAAAAAAAAAGAAAGAAAACCTTCAATGGCTTTTTACAAGTTTAAAGGGAGGTTAATTGGTGATCCTTCCAGGTGCCAAATGCTCTAGGTGCGCCCCTGCAGGTAGCCATCCATAAATGTAGCTATACTAATGGTTTAAATTCAGCATTTTAGTCAACATTTTGTAATCAGAAATAACACGAGTTATTCCAAGTTAAATTTAAATTTAAAGTCAAAATAGCTGATATGGAAAAATTCTATAAGTCAACTACCCTTTTAGTTCAGCCTTTAATTCTAAAATATCTTTTGATTTACTTTGAAATCTAATTTTAGTCAATAACCGCTGATAGTATGCACTTATGATTGCTTTTGTGTTATATTGAATGTGGTGGCTGTAGCAATTATAATAAGTAGCAGGTGTGGGTGCAGGATGCACAGACCATTTAGAACAGGGGTGCCCAAAAGGTAGATCGCCAGATGTTTTACAATTACAGCTTTCATGATGCTTTGCCATTCTACAGACATTCCAAATCTACCTCTTGGACACCCGTGATTTAGAAGCTTGCAGAACATGAGAGGTAATAGAAGTCCTGCCTCCAGCACCACGTACAATTTCAGCAGAGTTGCGTCCATATAACCATGTTACTATTTGCGATGTGGTGTGTGAAAAATTTAATTGTTCATTTATAAGCTAACACTAGCTTTTGGAAATGTAATGGATTACAGAAGTCCATTAGATATGGTTAATGGTAAATATACACTATATCACTAGTGCTGTGCATCGCAAAGGGTCTGGACTGGACATAGACGTATTTGTATGCCATGCCTCAGTCCAGGGCCACAGCTGGAACTATAGCACAAAGCAGAGAAGACTCCCTTCTCCATTCACAGAACCTTTATTTTTTTATTTTTTGTGAATGCTATTTTATGGTATGTGGGTTAAGACTGTTCGTAAACACCCGAGCCTAGAGATGTATTCATCAATTTGATGAGTCTGTTATGGCTTCTCTCTGCACCTCATTAGCCCCAGATTTATGGAGCTGGTTTGTGTATGATGACACTTACTACATGCAGTGATTTACAGGGCAGGGGGACTGGCTTCTTCATCTGTCTGTAGCCCCTATTCTTTCTCCTTTTTGTTTCACTGATATATATTCCCATCCGGGATTACTCATGGCAGACAGAGGAAGTATGTGTCCCCCTACTTTCATCTGGCTTTTCACTTATTAGGCTGCAATCTGGATAAATATCCTTGGGAGAAAACATGGCATGGTGCAGATCTATACAAAACTAGTTTTGCTTATTAACAGATCAGTGATAGTA